AGAAAAAGGAGGAAAAAGAATGAAGAGAAAAAGAGAAAGAAAAAGAAAAAAATATTTAATGAAATATGCCTGGCGTGATATCAGGCTATTTATTGAAAATATGTTGTTCAGTCCACATAATAGCCATGTGCAGATTGCATTCATTTTTGCATTTACCCATGAGAAAATCAACATTCACAGAGAAGCTAAGTAACTTGGTAAAGCTCACACATAATAGCTAAAACTGCAATCAGAGCCTAGGTTTTCTGACTCCCAAATACTTATCACTTTATTGCCTTGAATTTTGCCTTCTCTCCCCTGCACCCCTCCCTTACTTTCTGAACACCAACTTTCACTAATATGACCTACCCTCTGGGAATAACACAGTCACAGGCTCACCCTCTATAAAATGACTCTTTCCTTGTATTCTGAATTTCCATTTTACATAGATGCTGGAAATATTTTGTTGTTTAGACTATAAAATATTTGTGCATTTTTGGACATATTTTAAGCAAAATAAAATATTAAAAAATATTCACTTCCAAATTCATTTTTACGTTTTTCATGTTTACAAATAAACCTGACAATGTTTAACAGAGAATTTAATCTCCAATTAATGATGCAAGATAAAACGGTCAATTGAGGTAATTAATTCCCTGTGTAATTTATGTGAAAATTATTTTACTCTTCTGGGGGTCAAGTTTAAGGGAAACTTGATTAAATTCATTACCCATTCACTTAATTCTCTGAATTTTATATTTTAATGTGTAGTTTTTTTAAATTTTAGACAATTATGAAAAAGACAAATGTTGAATATAAAATTAATGCAAAGTGAAGTCATACAGGTAATTTAGCTGAAATGTTTTTGGTTTGAATTATCTCATTAATATTCATTTGAAGAATGAATGTCTATATCAGACACTCAAACTGTGATAAATTTTTAATTTTGTATTTTATATTTTAAATGTTTAAGAGAAAATAGGCACATACATAGCTTGAGTTAATGTAATTAAATGTTAAATTTATTGTCTATAAAAGTTATTGATTTTTCACTGCATATATTAAAGTATTTCATTTTCTGACACTAACCATACCCTTTTATGGTATTTAACCAAGCTAATCCAAGAAACTAGAAGTAAAATGATTAAGTAAGTGGTATGCCATCAGCTTAATTATATTTCAAGTCATCAAGTTCCTTTGAAGGAAAGAAACATCTATACTTTATAATAACAATATCTTACTTACATAGGGAATTCTACACTGAATTCTGACCTATAATTATATTGATAATGTAACTATTACAGTTGTTGGCATATCCTTCTCCTATGTGTTAGATTCATTTATTAACTTCGATATATCATATGTTATCTGACCTGCTTTTTATAAAATTTAATCTCCATAATTATTTATTAAATAAAACTAAAATTTATATTAAAATTCAATCAAGGAATTTTAGTTATTAATTAACAATAAAATAAAACTTGAAACAAACCTTATTTTAGCATGCTAGAATTTTAATTTTAGTTTACAAAAAGTATAGAAAATAAATAATTATTTGCTTTCCAAATATGCCAGACTTGTTACTTAGACCTGATGCTATATTGCATAAAATAAATGGAAACCTTGAACCAAATCTATAATTAGCTCACGTCATGAAGTACTACATAATTATTTAACCATCATGAAACTATGCTTTGATTGCTTTTTTATTTTTTTTTAATTTTTTTTTCAACGTTTTTATTTATTTTGGGGACAGAGAGAGACAGAGCATGAACGGGGGAGGGGCAGAGAGAGAGAGGGAGACACAGAATCGGAAACAGGCTCCAGGCTCCGAGCCATCAGCCCAGAGCCTGACGCGGGGCTCGAACTCACGGACCGCGAGATCGTGACCTGGCTGAAGTCGGACGCTCAACCGACTGCGCCACCCAGGCGCCCCGATTGCTTTTTTATTAAATCAATGTTCAGAATTTTGAAAATCAATGTGTTTGAAGTACATATCAATAATCAAAATCAAAGACCGTAATTCCGGGAAGAAAAACATTTGAATAAAGACTCAAGCAATTTTCTTTTTTATAAGCATTAGGTGCAAAAATTACAAACTAAAGCATTTCTTAAATTATATAAATGATCTTTTTCAGCTAGGTTCTCTGATACTTTTTATAGTTTTTTGGTTTTTGTTTTGTTGTGGTTTGGGCTACAAAATAATTACCTTCACAAATTTAACACAAATGACATAAAATATATACATATGTGTTCCTATGACATAAAATATATACATATGTGTTCCTATTTCTATATATATAAGTACTCAAACATGCTTATTGTTTGTTCAGATTTAGTAAGAACACAGTTTCATCTGATAAAAAATGCCACTTAGTTTTGGATAACATCATATCATTAACAAATTATTAAGAAAAGTCAATGATTTCACAATTTAATATTGCCAAAAATAGAAAAAAATCTCTAATAAATCAATGAATTTAAGTCTGAGACAGGCAACAACCAAGTTATTTTGGTTGTTTGAATTGGCTGCTGAAAACAGAGAGCCTTCTTTAGATACTACCAGACAAATAAAAGCTTCTGTAATGCCATTAAAGCTTCACTTGGGAAGAGCTGAGCAGTGGGAGTGTTAGAATCACAGCAGGAAATTCAAAGCAGTCCAATTTATCCTGGTGCTTTAAAAATGGCATTGATCTTATGTAGTAGATGTGTTTCTTGGTTATTCTGGGCTCCTCCACTGTCAAAAGCTTCCCAATCTTAAATGAAAACTTTACCTTTCACATCAGAAGCCTTACTGTGATTGACCTTACCTACCTTTCCAGCACCTTTACTGGCACCAGAGTTTCTGGCCTTCCCTAGTTTTGCTGCTTCTACTCCTCCTATGTGTTTTGAATTTCTTGCTCAAGGCTTTCAGAGTCTTCAGCGTTGTCTTTTTGTTATGCATTGAAGCTATCATGCCTATTTTCCTTGGTACTTCTAGAGATTCCTTAAGCATAGACTGCTACATCTAGCATTTGGAAGTGAAGGATGAAGCAAGGCAGTGAGATCTAAGATTCACTGGTACACAGTTTCAAGTTGGTAAGGTTCATCTCAGAGAAACTGCAAAGAGGATATATGTGTCTGGTGTTTTCCTTCTACTATGAAGAATGTTATCTAACCTCTGCTGTCCACTCCTCTTCCTGCCTCTTTCTCTCTAGAGCAACCTGACAGATTCACACTCTTCTCTTAACTCTCTGCTTGACTCAAATGTTATAAAACCACAGGTGCATCATAAGTGTTATTTTGGCCTTTTGTATTTATTTGTATTAGCATGTATATCACTCTTTAACAATTGCTAGTATATATTTCTGCCACCACCACATGATTTTGAGCTCTTAAAACAGGAAGTTTTCTCACTGGCACAAGTAATTATTAAAACACTATTAAATGAATGAACGGTCAAGTGAACAAATAGGGGTAGAAATTTGTTTTGAAAATAAAAATCTATAAAAGTGATTGTGTCATTACCTTCTGCATTCCTTCATGTGTTTGTTATACATGATCAGTACATTTTATCCCTATAGAAGATTTATTTTAGTCAACAGTTATACTCATATGCTTTTATTATTGAGTCTTAAACAGATATTTTGAGTCTCTATTTTAGCAGAAATCACATAGTCCTGTTAAATGGAATGTACACATATATATATATATATATATATATATATGTATATTCCATAATCATTCATTTACCACCCAACACAGCTTTGCAGTTGGACCAGATTTAATTTTTAAAAATAAGAAATCAAAGAGTCAATATTTATTACTGCATTTATGAGGTACAACCCCATGTCCAGTGAAAAGAAATGCAACCTCATTTTAAACCACTTCAAATTTGCTAAGGTCCTAAAGCAGCTCATGGTTCTACATCTCTTTTGTTTTACATAGATACACATGGAGCATGACAGTAAGCTAGACATCTGCAAAGATCAAAACAACTAAATATGTAACAAGACCACTTTGTTATTTGTATCAAATTATTAAGTTGATTATTTAGCCTTTTAATGTCAATATCATCAGCTGTTAAAATGGACATTAACAAATCTACATTCTATGATTAATGTATCAAAGGTGATTACATATATAAAGGCTAAAGTAAAGTAAAAAGCAAAATATAAATTGTTTTTATTTCACATCCAATTCTCACAGCAGTTATTTAGCTATTATTCATATTGTATATTTTTCAGGTTTTACTTTCATTATTTACTGTGGCAGATTTTATTGTTGCTCCCCACTCTTATACCCACTTTCTTTGTAGAGACATTATACCTGGTGATTTATTACTCTGTGACAAGTAGTACCTTCTTTGTCATCCTACCCGATAGCAGTCTTGGGCATGTGACTTGCCTTGGCCACTTGAGCAAAAGTGACAGTGTGCCCTTCTCTAGCAGAAGCTTTAAGAGCCAATATGTTCATTTGTTGCCTTCTTGTTCTTTCCTCTTTGTCATAGGAACAGCGTATCCTATTGGGAGCTGTTCCTGCAGTCTAGATCTTAGAATAAAGAAAACACAAGGAGCAGTAGTTGCAACCCTTAAATTTAACACGAGCAAGAAATAAGCCCTTTTGCTCTAAATCGTGGTGACACTATAATTTATCATCCAGACTAGGAATCGTTTGAGAATGAATGGTGTGCTATTGATGATTATACCAAGACTACAGATATACTCATGGGCAATCCCGGGTGAACAGGAGGAATCTGTATCTTACCTACATGAATAGAATTTAAGGAGTTAAAAGTTCGACAGGGCATATTACAAACATAATTAAGTATCATTCCCTATCTTCCTTACCATCCCATCCATTCCCTTATCATCTTTTGGTTCTCCCAACAGTATTTGTTAATATTATGTTAATACTGTAAATACTTTTCTGCCTTGTGTATATATATAAATGCAATTAATACGTACATATATATTGTTGATTTTCATTTCTTGCATATTCTTCTCCCTCTGAAGTTCACTCTCATTTTTAACTTTTTGCAGATTTTTCTATGAAAACAGCACTAATTCAACTCCCAACTTTCATTCAGTTCTTTAAGTCCCCCCTCAGTATTCCAGTGCATCAAGAATTTGTTGATTTAATTTTCTTGAAGAACTTGAAAACTCTTGAAGAACTCCCAGAGGCTTCTGACTTTCCCTAGACCAAACTACGCCTGCTCTAAGTCTGGTATGCATTTGTCATCAATCATTTATCCCTTCACCAGTGTCGCATATATTCCTCAGTTTCTTTCTTTCCAGGAGTGAAATCCTGTTTAATGTAGGCTTGTATTTTTTTGGGGGGGGGGGGGGCATGGTCTAGGTTTACTCTCTTGTTTTCATTGAAGCATATCAAATAACTTCCAGGAAAAGATAATGGGAGATAATTTTTGACATTTTACATTTATAAAAATATCTTCATTCTGTCTTTAATCATTTGTTAGGTATCATTTTCTGTAAAAATGTTTTCAAAGTATTTTTTCACCGTGTTTGCTAGAAGTGTTATATTGATAACTTTAAAGCCATTATTTTTCCTTACATTTTGTATGTGGACCATCTCTTTCTTCCCTTCAGACGTTTGCAGAATCTTTGTCCCCAGGAATATAAAATTGCACAGGGCTGTGTGTCTGCGGATGTGTTTTCACTCACTGTACTGGCCTGTTGTTGTCCCTTTTAAATATTTATTTGATTTTTTTTTCTCTCATCCACTTTTTCTCTTTTCTTTGGCTCAGTAAGTCCAAGTATAAGGCTTGCTCTGAAAGCTGGCTTGGAGAATGAGGCTTGGATCCACAGTCAAACTCTGATGATTAATTGTCAACTATGCCTACACCAAAGAACTGCTATTCCCTAATAGGGGAGCCAGAACAGAGAGAGAGTATCTATTCACCTCATTGTTGGAAGAAGACAATCTGTGCCATGGCCAGTAGTTAGGTTTAGGCAACTTATGGAACGAATATCAAACTCCCAACACTAGCCCAGAGGATGTTTGACTCTGTCCATTAAGATGAGCTATTACTCCATCTCTTTAGATGATTTATTAATGAAGAAGAGATCAGTATTATTTAATCCAATAATTTTCTCTTATGGGGAGAAATATGATGGACCACATCCTTTAAAAGAGGATTATTATAAAAACCCATTCCATACAACTGATTTGAAGTTTGAAAAACAACACCAAAACAAAGAAATGTTTGTTAGGGATAGAAGATAAAAAAATAATGTGATGAATAGGAAATAATTTCCTATAAAATAGGGATAGAAGATTAAAAAAATCATTTGAGGAATAGGAAATAATAATTAAACCAGAAATCTAGAGTAAAATGGATGCTGAATTTAATAGCTAAGTTAACTACAAGGGGATATTTTTATAATATCATTCTCTGGTTTAAATAAAATATACTTTATGTTAGGGAAGATATAAGGAGAAACATATTTCCTGGTAGTCTAAGAGAATTTATCATTTGGCTTTTATATAATGGGCATTGACCCTCCTAATATAGTTCTTTGTCAGGTTGGAAAGGATATTAAGTGCATTTTTATGTGGTTTATCCTTATATAGGACCTTTATACAAGTTCCTTTGATGACAATTCCAACTGATCTCTTGCCATTGTAAAATGGTTCATGGAATGAGTAGCTTATTGAATTTATACAGAGACCATTTAAACCTTCACATGCTCACATACACATCTTATGAATTAAAAAAAGATGTGTTTATTTTTATTATGTGGATAGATAAATCAAAGCTAAAAATTTCCATCCCATTCTTCTATTCTTTCGGTCCTAGTCACTATGTAAGAATCTATAATTCCCCAGATGTTGTTCTCAATGTACTTAGCAAGTATTTAGTTTACCCTCCAATTGTGCCAAACATTTTCCTAGGTAATAAAGATATAGCAGTAGAAAACAAATAAACCTAGATGTCATGAGGCTTATATGCTATGGTTAGTTAGATAACAGGGAAATAAATTTTAAGTATTTGTGTATCTATGTGGAAGAAAATTAAAGCAGAGTAAAGGTAATAATTATGCAGGAGGAGTGAGTTAATATGGGATTACTATTTACATTATTTGGTCAGAGTTTCTTTTCACAAATACAGTTATGAAAACAATATAGAATGGAGCTATATGGATAAAAGAGAGAAGAATATTTAAGTCAGATTAGACAGTAAGTGTAATACCCCCCCCCCAAGTGGGGCATTGCTTGTCACAGTCAAAGATCAACAAGAAAGATGATGCCCCTGAAGCTCAGAGAGGATATGAGTGGTGGCGATGAGGTGAGAAGTCAAAGGGCTCAACCACTTGAGATCATAAAATCCTCTTTTGAGACTCTGCCTTTTACTGCTCGTGATGTGAGAAGTATACTGAAGATCTTTGAGAAGAGTCATAAAATGATCTGTTTTAACAACTTTATGGAATCACTCAATGATATGTTGAGAATAGAGTGTAGAAGGGGCAAGCACTGAGGCAGGGAGATCAATTAGGTAGATACTGCAATAATCCAAATTCAGAATGATGGTAGCTAAGATCATGGTGGCAGCTGTTAAAGAGTGAGAAATGGACGTGTGTGTGTGTGTGTGTGTGTGTGTATGAAATGTGATGTGGCAGGATATGTTCATTGACTGGATGTGAGGTGTCTGAGAAACAGGTATCTCCAAGTTTGTGATGTAAGCAGTTGCAACAATAGAATGCTATTTGCTGCTTTAGAAAATACTGTGGGACGGTTGCGGGGGTGGGGGGGTGGGGGGAGGAAATTAAGATTCTGAATTAACATCTAAGATGCCTTTTAAATGTCCAGATGGAAATGTGAGGGAAACAGTGTGATATATGTGTCCTGAATGCAGGTGAAAAGTGAATGGGCTTTCAGAAATCAACTTTATGAAGAATTCCAAAAGATAACCACAAAAAGAGTACAAGATGCCCTGGAGTGTCAAAACTGACAATGTCTCCACTGTGGTTGTGCAGGTGAGTTATTAGTAGTCATGTCAAAGCATAGCAGATAACAAGGCCAAAAAAGAGGACAATAAGTGACAAAGCAGGACTACTAGGTTCAGTAGGGACATAGAAAGATGAGGGCCAAGATCTTGTCACTTGGCAAGTGGGAATGGACTAATCGGAAATGTGACCTTTCCAAAGACTTCCATTCTAGATGATTGGTATTTGGTCTAACAGCCCTTTGACACAATTTATAATTTAAAAAATGTAAAATAACCCCAAATATTCCAGACTATGTGATAGACAAGATAAATTTAGTATAACCCAGGAACGCAAGCGTTTTATGATATGTAAAGAAGTGTCTGTGTCTCCATGCCATCACAGAATAATCAGGCTTGATTTGGAACAGGTGTAAGAACCTGTAGGCAATTACTGGAAATGTTAAGGAAGAGTAATATTAAATACTGGACTTTTTGAGTAGCTTATCTGCTCAGAGCAGTTGAGCTTTGCCTAGTTAATATCCCTATATGAATAATCATGATGATAAGACATAATTAGTTACCATTTAAATAGGAAATCACTGTTTAGTCATGATGGCATAAACCTATAGATCATATGTTATTTGGGCCATGGAATCAGCAGGAATGTTTCCCCTAAAGACCAGGTTAAAAGTAAAATTTCTTCTTCAGGCCATGTAAGATTTTGGAATTGAGGAGGTCAGCACAGAAGCTTCTACAAGCATTCTCTTATTACAAAAGAATTTTCTCTGAAAGGTTGCCTGGCCAGAGGAAGAAAGAAATTTTCGGCTATTGGGAATCTCTGAAACACAATAAATATACAAATTGTATTTTTACTATTCAATACTACTATTGTTCTGGTTGCTGTTCTATAATAATGGAAAAGACTTTCATTGGTTTAAAGGACTTATGGGAAAATTTAGATAGTTGATATAATTTTTGATGGAAGTGCTATACGGACACATGATATAAGAAATCTGGTTTGACCATTCCAAGAACTCTGGAGAGCTTAGTGGGAGAGTAAAACTTTTCTTTCCTTCTTCAGGATGAGCTTGCTCTACATTCAATCATATATTCACTCATTCACATATTCAAAAGATGTTTATTACACAGCAGCTAAGTGGCAATTACTAAGTTAAACAAATAGATTTTTAGAGATCCTGAGGTTGAAACATATTAGAATGTAATTCCCTCAGGGGACTCTGGACAGTGAACAAAGGAGAGTTAGTAATCTTGTGCAGAAACATGTATGACATAATTCTACCAGAGAAGATGCTTTAGTTCCTTCACAAGACTCATGGGCTTTGGACAACATAAGCAACAGTCAGCTTCATCCAAATACCACCACCCCCAACCTCTAGCCTTGATAATAAACAATGTCAATCAGATGATATTCAGATGAACACAAATGTTTGTTTAACATTGCTAATAAAATAGCAAATATAAGAAATTTTATTTTACTACTTTTCCAGGTCCTTTCCTTGGGGATAATATTTACATCCCAAATTTTATTTTCCCCTATGCTATAAATTCCCTTTACCTTCTTACTACATAGTAAACTCAGTATCTTAAAGTGCCCATCTTAGTGGTACATCCCTTGGCTCTCCCTTTCAGAATTTTACTCTTGCATTATTACTTGTTTCTCCCTGAAAAACATGTTTTCTTCCTCAGAATTACTGCTTCAAATATTAGATCATGTAACTAAATTAAATCATTGTAAATGAAGTAATTTACTAATCTAGCTGATCACTAAGTCAGATGGAAACTTTAAAACGAATAAAATTATTATATATTCACAGCACCAATCCCAGAAGCTGTTAGTATGAACTTCTGGAGGAGGGGCTTAGGAAATTAGAACTAAAAAAGACATTCCCTAATGCAGCCTGTTCAATGAATTGATTTTAGTAAGCATGCACTTTGCCACTGATGCCAAAGCAAGAGTGCCAGAGTGAAGCCGAAGGGCTTATGCTAAAGTGACTGGCTGGTTCAAACTAATTATGGGGAGCTAATTTCTCCAAATAAGTGAGGCATAATTCTCCCTCATGCTTCTGTTATTCCTTATGACTTCCTGCCAAGAATTTCTTTCTGATTCTTCTCAGTTTTCTCTGTACTTCAGTTTCCAGTTCAAGCCTAACCCTTCCATGAAGTCTTTGAGAACTACACAGGCCATGGGAAATATGGCTGGCTTAATTTCTATTTGAGTTTTTTTTTTTTTTACCTCCATGAACCCTTAGAAGAATTAATATACGAGTTGAAGAAATAGAGAAGAGATCATTAAACCTCTATAGACAAGAAAGAAGTAGTAATTATGGTGCAAAAGGAAGCAGAGGAGTGAGAGAGAGTGTGTGTGTGTAAAATAGAGCAGAAGAGTGTGAAACAGAATGTTAAATGTGTCAAAGAGAGCAGAGGAGGAATAAGAAAAGAATTTGTGAACAGCAGAATGAGAGAGGGTCAGGGGGCTTAGATCTCCACGAAAATGTTGTTGAGGATAAGGATGAAGAATACTCAATTTAAGTTTTTGGTTACATTTTCATGTTTTCCCTCTGTCTTCTCAAATATTGGTAAAGTTTCCTATGTACATGCACACATGTTTCCAGACATTCCTTTGAAGAAATCAAGGAGAATAGAGGACCGTGTTTTACTTCTGGGGCCACAGACTTGAGGAATAGTTATTATGGACATGCTGACAGACTCCCTTTTCTGTGGTAGGATACCTATCAATTATTAAACCTTAGTTTACTACCAGTATAGGCACTTGGCTCATTAATGAAATATAAACCCCTATAATCTGCTTACAAGATCTCTCCATGCAACATTGAAAATGTTGGAATAATTGTGAACACATGTGTATGGAGGGAGGGGGGAGGGGGGTTAGGGATTTCCCAGAATGCATGGGACTCTGTTGGCACCACACTTTCCATGATACAATGAATTATACCACCAGTTTCTGGAAATTTTCCAAGCCCTGGATGAGGACAGCTTATTGGGGCAAAATCCACGACTGGAAGCAATTTAAAATTACTCATATTTTCGCCATGGTTATAGGGAAGCAAGATTTTCTACACAAAATGCATCCTTGTGCTACCAAGAACTCAATAATACATGGATTTTTTTTTTTTTTTGACTACTGAAAATGTGCCACTGCAGAGTCAGGAGTGTTTATGGGGGATGAGTCCTAGATGTTTGGAAGCCAACATGCCCATAATTTAGTTATGGTGATTGAGAATCTGAAATTTCCAGATAAAATGCAACTGCATTATTTCATGGATTTTTTTTTTTTTTTGAGATTTTAACATACCAAATTTTGGACAACTTATAATTGTTGTCATCTGGGAGAAGGTAGTTGTTATTACCTGCCCCATCTATCAAAAATTTTAGAATGGTGTCAGCTGTTTGGATAATAATCCTGGAGAATGTAGTGCAGCATTCTTTTAGGAAATGACAAATCATTAATGCTGATAATCAGAGGATAATTATGTGAGGGAAAAGTAAGCACACTGATGATCCCAATTCAAAAAGTTGTACTCTGAATATAAAGAAGTCATAGTTTTAGAATCAATCAATTATTTTTCTCACATTTTCTTTCTTATGCATGAAAGTGATATATAAGAGACATTTCAATAAGAATAAAAAAAAACTCTAGGTGACATAAAAAATTGGGTCCACATTAAATTGGCAGAGATTTGTCCTTCCCTTACTTTTAGTGATACATGTAACAGTGGTGCACGTATTATGGATGCTATTTTAGCTACAACAGACTTCACAATTCTGAAAATTTGGTCCTGGAGAAGTTAAAGAAGTTAAAGGCATTAAAGCCCAAATGGAAGTTAAAGCTTATCCAGAGATACTGAGGACAGAATGGGAAAGATTAATAACAGCAACTTCAAAGAAAGCAGGAACTCATGCTTCAGGGCCTAAAGCTGTCAGGGCAATAATCTAATTTACTAACATCTGTGTTGAGCAAGGCCCACATGCATTGCCCAGGGATTTAGCCTGATTTCCCATCAGGTATAATCCCTTACGCTGTATATTATGGCAGTAACAGCTATTTATCCCCCAATTACCGTAGGTCTACTGGAAACTCTCTCTGATGCATAGAAATTTTGTCTGGCACAGTGAACCCAGCTGTATAGAGGATTGCACTAGGGTTGAGATTTAGTGTGAAGAGCCAACAACCTATGGGGAAAGATGAGTAACATTCCCCTATGTACCTCAGTATAATTCACCACCAAGATAGAGAGAACTATGAGTCAGAGGGGAAAGATGCAGAAAGGAACATTCTAGAGTGAACCAGTTCTTCCTCTTCCATTTACCTCAGCATCTATTCCAAATTTGGGACATCTAAAGCTAGGCAGTCATTTAGAGAGTCCTTCACATGACTGGAAAGCAAACACCTAGGGGAAAGAGATAATATTGTATAGCATAAAGTAATACATAGTATAGAGCCACATAGAACATAGAACATATAACACATAACAGGCATCCCCTCTGTAGGGTAGAAAATATTTAGCTCTTATTTAATTCCATTGTCCCTTGGCCACATGGGAAAAATATCTTCATTGTTCAACAAACACTATTTGATACATTGCATCAACCATACTTAGAAAACTGAGGAGAATGTCTCTCTTGTTTTTCTTGTTTTTCATTTTTTTTTTAAGGATTTTATTTGTAAGTAATCTCTGTACCAAACATGGGGCTCAAACAACCCTGAGATCAAGGGTCACATGCTATAACAACTAAGCCAGCCAGCCACCCCTGAGGAGAAGATCTTTCAATGACACAGTGTTCCAGCTACAGGGGCGCCTGGGTGGCGCAGTCGGTTAAGCGTCCGACTTCAGCCAGGTCACGATCTCGCGGTCCGTGAGTTCGAGCCCCGCGTCAGGCTCTGGGCTGATGGCTCGGAGCCTGGAGCCTGTTTCCGATTCTGTGTCTCCCTCTCTCTCTGCCCCTCCCCCGTTCATGCTCTGTCTCTCTCTGTCCCAAAAATAAATAAACGTTGAAAAAAAAAATTAA